TTGGCTAATAATCACATGTAGATCTACAAATTGATCTACAAAGCTAGCCAATCAGACGAATTTCTGCCTATGAGCATTAACCTAGTTATATCACGGGCTTAGGTAGAAAAAAAGTTATAACGTTTTAAATTTTTTATATATATATTATAATTTAATATAAAAAATTTAAAACTCTACCTAAGCAAATCTTGTCCCGTAACTTCGACATTTTTAATCGCTTTATAAAAATTCCGAGTTTTCACCGTGAAAAATGGTATAATCATATATCAAAAAAATCAAATAGTGCGTCGATCATATAGTGCTGTTATGATCTGCAAAGTTTGGCCAATAGGATTTTTTATTTCAGCATTATAGTTTTTTTTCATCAGTATCTAAGGTCTCTCTTTCATAAAATGGATAAAACAAAAGCTGTCAAAATTGCGGTTATTGGTGGAAGTGGACTTTATAATTTTGACCATTTAACTCCGATAAGAGAGATTTGTCCGGAAACTGTGAGTGTTGCTAACCAAAATTCGATAAATTTTCTATGACTGTACTCATAACTAAAAATTACATAATAGCCGTGGGGTTATCCTAGCAGTAACATCGTTATAGTTGAGGACCCTCGTGGTTCTCAAATTGCATTTCTTTCTCGACATGGCATTGGACATCAATACAATCCTTCTGAAGTGCCGTCAAGAGCAAACATAGCTGCCTTGAAACATATTGGCGTGGAAGTTATTATTGCCTTTTCAGCTGTTGGATCTCTTCGAGAAGAAATAAAGCATCAAGACTTTATCCTTCCAGATCAGATTATAGATCGGACAAAAGGAATTCGACCTTCTACTTTTTTTGAAGGTGGAATCGTGGCTCATACAACATTTGCCGACCCTTTTAATACATTACTTTCCGAAATTATTTATTCCCACCGACATTGCCTTGGGGAAAACATCACTTTACATCGCAACAAAACGGTTGTATGTATAGAAGGACCTGCGTTTAGTACAAGAGCTGAATCACACTTATATCGAAGTTGGGGATGTGACATTGTTAATATGTCTGCATTGCCCGAAGCAAAATTAGCAAAAGAAGCTGAAATTGCTTATCAAATGATATGCATGTCAACCGATTATGATTGTTGGAAGCAAGATGAAGAATCCGTTTCTGTCGAAGTGGTAATTTCAAATTTAAAGAAGAATGCAGATAATGCAAAAAAATTATTGGCAGAAATACTGCCAGATTTAGAGAAGGCGTTAGAGGAAGGAAAGTTTGAGGACATGAAGGGAGTTATGAAAGTATCTTGTGTTACCAGCAAAGAAGTTAGAAATGAAGTTAGAAGTCAAGAAGCTATTAAAAAGCTAGAATATATTCTGCCTGGTTATTTTAGTTAATGTTTTATTTGAGAATTACATTAAAAATACTACTTTACATTTGGTCCTATCAAATTAATGACCGGTAATTGATTTGTGAATGCATCTTAATATATGTTTTTTTTTGAAAAGAACAAATTGGACACTATTTGCGGTCTTCCTGCAAGTTTTTTTTGACAAATTCAGTTATCTCATATAATAAAGAATAAAAAAAATTTAAAAAATAGTATTAAACTTACCACCATGATTATGTGATAACCGAATTGCGTTTTTATCTATAAATTACATAAACATTATCAGCAAAACATTATAACTAGTCAAACGATTAAAGTATGTAATTTATTGAGAATCGAAACATACCGGTGGATTTGTAAATATTGGTTTATCTGTATTTATATTTGAAGGTAAAATTAGCTTGAATATTATAACCCCATTACGCATAAATAATTGAGATATATAGTTACCTAATGAACTTGGCTGTAACGCGAATGCAGCTTCTTGGAATGGACCTACCATTGACCCACGGGCCATCCATCCAAGACTCCCTATATATTTATGAGTCAAGAATGTTGAATAAAAAGAATTATTATTTAAACTATAAAATTAATTCGTTACCTCCATGCTGTGCTTTATCTTCGCTATAGTCCTTTGCCACCTATTTGACCAAATTAATTAATAAAACCTAGTCCCTGATTTATTTTTATCTATTCAGAACTTACCTTGTCAAATCGCATATTTTCCACAGTTAATTTTTCCATGGCTTCCATGATCTATGTTGAAACAACGAACTGGTTAGAAATTAGTTATCAGAATGTATATATCATCACTCTATATTAAATTACCTTGGAGTGTTTCTCACATAGAATATGTCTAACCTGTATTAAGATATATTTTAATATATTTTTAGATATTGTTACATTTATATAATAAAGCATAAAACTTACCTTTACACTGTTGGCTGCTTTTAGTTTCCCGGTCTTTCCAGACTTTGATTCCCCATCGTCTAAGAAAAAAAAAAAAGTTTAATCGCTTAATTTTATATTGATAATTGATGAATTATTATATAAACCTACCATCGTCTGTAGTTTTTTTATTGGCTTTGCCTTTACCAGTATTTCCTGAACTATTTTTAGTCTTACCCATATCGATATCGATATATCAAAAATTTACGATGCCAACAACTATTGACGAAAAGCCAAATGGTCAGATCCGTAGATCTATTACTTGTATTACGTAAATATACATACATCATGGTTACTAAATGAATGCTGACTCCATCTTTTTTTTTCTTACACGCATATTTTTCTCAAACTTTTCAATAATTAAAAAAAAAAAAAAAAAAAAAATGCCAGTCAAAAGAAGCCTCAAACAAGACGAACCAAAAACGTATGAAACACCAGATAGCGTACCAATAAAGAGAAATAAACAAGACGTGAATTGGGAGGTTGAGTTTTTCTTTCAGTTATTACCTTTCACTTTACCGGAACCAGACGCCTCCCATAAAATCATGGTTTTGAAAGATTTAAAAGAGGAAAAAACTAAACTACCCGAACCTGACGCAACATACTTTGTTGACCCTTACGATAGCGTCTATGAAGCGGACGTCTCCTCCGTGTCTTCAGACGAAGATTCAGAATCTTTAGGCGGTGAACGTTTGGACTATGAAAGTGCGGAAGAGAGTGATTATGAAGAAATTACTCCGAAGAAGAAACGTTGCGGAGCTATGTGGAGTTCTCAATGCCGTCGTGCAGGTCGTTGTATCTGCGCGGACGAAACTTTGGATTATAACGATTAAAAAGAGAGAACCGGTGAAATTATGAAACTGGTTATATACTTTAGCTATTGTTTGACATTTTATGTCCGTAACGAACGAAGGCAGTTAATACGTGCCTTTAAATTACCGGGTGACAATTGAAGATAAGGGAAGTCGAGACGTCAACAAACAACAGAGTTCAATAGGGACATTATAGTCACGTTTTGGCGCTAATAAGTAAAGAAATCGAACCCATCTACTTATCGTTACTTATACATACCAGATGTATCGGGTTTATCAAAAAAGCATCCAAATTGACTCTTTGATGAACAAATAACATAAGTAGTTCGGAGTGTTGGATAAATTGACATTCACATCTTTTACTTTATTGTCTTATTTTTTTTTTATTTTTGGAATCAGTGGACTAAAGGCCTTATTTTTTGTACAATAGCGAATTTATTTAAAGGTTTCTTTTTTCATCTGTCTCACTCAAAACCAACTTGGTATTAACGTGAATGCTCTCGGCCACTTAAAGCGCATTAAAATGAATGTGCCCTGTGACTAAAGCATTGCGGATAAATTCATTATAATTTTATATTGTTTTTAAATGTAAGTTCATAATTTATATCATTAGATGCATTTTTTTTTTTTGATCAAATATCGGTCACGGTGTTTGTTTGTAGTATAATACGGCGGTCCATATCTATTTGAGTTCCAACATATTCTTTCCCACGGCTTATTTGTGTACTGTTGAATGTATGAATATTGCCAATAAGAAAATAATACCTCTGATGATTGATGATAAATAACTTTACCTGTCCAACTTGCAACTTAATTTTAGTTTCTTATCGCTAGTTATTTAAATGCCACTAAGCTTTGAAAGTTGTGGTAGTGAGAGGTAAGAAACTATGGTAAGTTGTGAATTATTAGTTTTGATTTACAAATAGTAGTACTGGCCCATCCATCCATCCATTACAATAAACAAAACCGAGTTATATGCACTAATTAACATTCGTATTGACTGTGATTCGAACGCGATTTACAAAAACATAATACTTGTTGCAAATATAATCGATGTCGGAGGTCTTGTTAACAAAGCTATGTTGATCGATGATATCTACCTCGAAGAAAATAAAAAATTTTTGGCAAATTTTGTATAAAAAAATATCCAACTCATGCCCCTCACTTTGCTACTGCAGAATTTCTTTGGAGTATCTCGATTTGGATCACTAAATACTGCTCGCTTGTAGAAGATGGATAAAGTCGCGTACACAGATGTATCTTTTTGATACACAAGTACCCTAAATATATGATGTTGAGAATCATTTCTTTTCGTATAAATGACGCCGAAAAACTTAGGAAATCATGGTTTGCTTTAAAATATGACGTGTCATCGTAACGACTAGCTCATTGCGGGGTCAATTATTTTAGTGTCTTTCAAATGTCAATAACGATAATAAATCTTATAATATATTTCGTTAAATAATTCTGATATTCTCTATCAGAACATTAGAATGCTCTAAATGTTTAACATGGCTAGAAAATGATGAAATTTTACTACTAATAAATCAAGTAACAAATAATAATAATAATAATTAAAGTTTCTAATCATTTATTAATAAGATATATACTTGGTTTTAAATATATAGTGAATAACAAATTCAAGTATTGTACGTTCCAAATATAAGGTAAATGTGGGTATTATGACTAATTGAACATATTACAAGGAAACAGAATGTTTTATTAAACAAATCGACTAAGTAAGGTGGTTCGAAATGTATCTTTTACTTATCCTATTACGGATAACTTATTATTATTTTTTTTTTGCTTTGGCGAGTATAACGAGCTTTCATTGTAATTGGCTGATTTTTGTAGATCATCCCGATCACCTAGGGTGAAAATTAGTTATGATTATGTTTTTTTTTAGAACATGGAGATAATTATAATTTTGATGCGATTTTTGTACTTGACAAATTTATTGAAAACAAATTTGAAATAACATACAGTGATAATACTAGAAAACAATTTTAAATAATAATAAAACCATTATAGATAAAATGTTTAAAAAAACAGATGAAAGGGTTTGGGCTCTATAGTTTAGCAGTTAAGCTGCCAAACCCCCACAGACTAGGTTGACAGTTTGAGTCAGGCTGGAGGCTAAATCTTAGGATTTTAGTTTCTGTAACCCAATAAGGGGGCTATAATCAAATGTGGAGTTCTGTAGTTAAGTTCAAGTGCAAGTACGAAATTAGAAAAGGAAATTTCTAAAAGGAGGTTCAATTGTGAAGTGGAGGCACTATGTATGACAGGTCATGAAAGGTTCTGTTACACAAAGGTTGCACATGTTAGTTCTTGATTAGGGGTGACCAGAGCAGCATCAACATCCCTAGCGGTTGGGGTACTTGATTAAGAAAGTAATATAACAGTAACAAAACTGAAATAATGAGAAAAGTGGTAAACAAGATGACTTGTGGCAAAGGATTGGTCCATCCAGAGTTCGGAAGCACCTTTGGCCCCAAGCCACTTGGCCTATTAAGGAAGAAACCTGTAAAAACAGAGCAAGAAGGCTGAAAACTCAGAATATATGATAAAAATTTGAAATGGTTGGATTTACTGAGCTAGTAATACAATTGTACAAATCGGGCTTGTATATCAGAAATTGATAAGGAACACCAAACACTGAAATTGGAAGTATTATATATGAAACCCACAATTTGAAAGTTATGGGTAATCTATAACACAACATGGCGAGCTTGCATTAATACACAGGAGTATCTACCTATAAGGTAACGGGAATCGGCAGCATACTAACTAAACTAACCATTAATAATGAGTCTTAACCTGGGCCAGCATAAGTTCTTCTTTGTGATACTACCTGGACAGACTAGCTGAAGATAACCAAGATTGGAAGTAGCCTTTGAGACTACAAGAACATATCTCAGAAGGAATTACCAAATTTGGAAGCTTAGGTATAAGTGGTATAAGAGATGTGGGAATGACATCATAGAGAAGTATACCAAAATAGAACTAGTAAAGGATAAAAAAATACTAGGTGAGTGCTATCTATAAGAACGTACTGCTCTAGTAGGTTTGGATCACAGATAATGAATTGGTGGTCAGTAGCAGATGGGGATATCTATCGCACAAGTGATGGTTTTGGCCAGAGTGTAGATAACCAATAAGATTCGGGTCTGAGCTTGGTATATTTGATATATGTAAATACAGAAATGTAGTAATACATGTAATAAAAGTATTAACAATAAATAAAGTTATAGGCAAGATCTTACCTGAACATCAAAAAATAAAAAAAATAAAAAAACAGATGAAGTTTTAAATTTATTAATATAACTAATAAAGATTTAGATATTAGAAATAGTAGAGTATTTGATAAAGAGCTAAACAGTAAAAATAATTTTTATAAAATTAAATATAAAAAATTATATTTTTTTAGTTTTAAAATTAAATATATTTTTTAATAATTAATTATTTAAAATAATTCTAATCAATTTACTAATAATTATAAATAATTATTTAGTTAATGGATCTATATTATTATCATTTTTATTATTATTATTCTTATTTGTTTTATTTTCATTTTTATTTTTTATCTATATTATCATTCTTTTTCACTATTTTTAGTTTATTTATTTTAAAATATAAAAAATAATTAAATTTTTTTTTTTATATTTTGAATAGATCTATATAATTTCACTAATAATCACTTTATTAATAGCTCATTTAGCTAACATTATATCAAATAAAATTTAATAAAAATATATATCTACAACTAATTAAATACTTAATCCTAACTCTATATCCCTTAAATTGTAACACAGGCAAATTTGCCTGCGTTTATTTTTTTAAACTTTATTTTTTTAATAAAATCTTAAA